CCCCCCGGTAACTCACACACCACAAACCTGACAACTTTTGTACCCTAGTCTTAGTAACTTTGGCAACGGGTGTGGGATGTGGGAAGGTGTTTAAAAAAACCCCGAGAACTTTCGTGTAAATAGCTTGGTACTGTACGCACCTTATACGTGATAACTTATGCATAAATACCACGACAACTTTGACCCAGGGTGGTGGGAGGGAGAAATTAGTTTGAAAACATACTCCTCCCGATAACTTCCGTACAAATGTCACGATAATATACGTACCATAGACTTGATAACTCATGTACAAACACCGTGATAACTTTAACCTTGGGGGTGGAAGTTGTTTGAAAACATAAATTTGATAATTTATGCATAAATAGCATGGTAATATATGAACCACAGACATGGTAACTCGTGCACAAACACCGCGGTAAATCTGTCCTGAAAAAAATAGTTGTTGGAAATGTACCAAGGTAACTCATGTGTAAATAACATGATAATAGACACACATCCGAGCTGATAACTTACTTAACCCAGGCCTGGTAACTATTTGCACGGAAAGAAGTCGTCAAAACATATCAACATGGGATCTAGTTTCGTAAGTCTTGTCGCAACTGATTTTTTATGTGAAAACGATTTTCTGATCAGACCGACGCTTTGACCTATAACACATTTAAAAGTTTTAAAATATGTAGAATCAAAGATGCATCCATTTTTTCCCTTCTAATGCATGCATCCATGTGCATGTGAAGAGAAAATTACAAGAACTATCTCTTATGTCCCAGTAATTTCTGCGTAAATAACATGATAACTTATATACAACCGTATGATAACTCGTGTAGCACACGCGTGGTAATTTTTGACCCGAAAAAAAATATCGTCGAAACATACCAACATGGGATCTAGTTTCGAAGGTCTCGTCGTGACGAATTTTTTATGTGAAAACAATTTTTCAATCGGACCAACAGTTTGAACTACAAAATATTTTAAATTTTCGCACTGAGAAAAATCTTTGATGGCATCATCAATTTCGTTTTTTCTGCATGTACGTATATGATCAGTAGCTGCTAATTAATTGCTAATGGACAGTCACACACACAAAAAAAGAAAATAAGATGAAGCTAATGCATGCATGCAAGCTAGGGAGAAATCGTGCGGATCTATTGCTTAACTTCAGTACATGTGGAAGTTAGCACAGTCCATGAGAAAAATATATACTACTCCCTCTGTTCACTTTTATAAGTCGTTTTAGACAAGTGAAATTGAGCTGTTTTGCATAATGTCTGAAACATCTACAAAGCCTTATAAAAGTGAACGGAAGGAGTAGCAATTTGTATGGACTGAGTCTCACATGCAATGTCTTTACCGAGTCCAAATGCACCACTTATTTTCCACAGAAAAATAAACCCGCTGTCGTATTGGCTTCTTCCCGGGAATTAGAATTTTGGAACCCAACCAAAACATTAGCCAATCTATGTTGCCCTCCCGCAAGCTATATGGTTCCAAACCAAGCATAGGCCTGTGATTTTGCCAAAATGTTGGCAGATCCAAAGGCTACAACCCAAACAACCAAAGCAAAACATGAATGTGATGTCAATCCTTACCAGCCCAAACATACCATATAAGCCGTGTGATCTTTTAGCTAACAAAAATACTAACTGACGAACATTCTCTCAGTCCCTAAAAGGGCATGTCAAGCGACACATTTTCTTGCTAGTTTGAGTTGCGACGTGAGATCAAACGGTGACAGTTTTAGAAGAAAAATGTCTTCTTTTGAAGAAACTGTCATGCTGTTTTGAAGAAAAATGTCATACGAATCGGAAGAAACAGCCAGAAAAAAGTTCGCAAATGTCATCCCTCCCGGCGAAGGTTCTCTATTTTGAACAACTTCGCTGGTAATTTAGCTGTGAAGAGATGACGATTTCTTCGGAACAACATGGCAGTTTCTTCAGAAAAACACACTTTTTGTTCAGAATTGCCATCGTTCGAAACTGCCAGAAAAAAGTGTTCACCTGCCATCCACTTCTCAGCTGACGTTCGTCAGATAACATTACTGCAGCTAAAAAGGGGGAATGCGATGACCGGAGAAACTTCAAAGTAAAACAACGTGGGTCTTCCAGTAATAGGAGTAACAATTTAACATTTCCACAAGCTTTATAATAAAAGGAGCCATATAATAAAAAGGCACATACACACAGAGCACCGCATCTACAACTTCGATGGTGCTCTAGAACTCCGGCCTTGTATAAACTTCTGCATATTTGCGAATTGCTCCTTTGTCATGCCATTGTAATAGTTGACAGCTCTTTCCTGAAACCATAGCACCAATGCTAACATTAGAGGTGTGTCTTCACTGAGTATTGAAAGTTGGAAACTATAACAAGAGCAATTTCCGTTTCTTTCAGCTAGAATGCTCGCCCCTATCAAATTAAGACTTTATACGTTTCTAAGAACACTATTTCTAATGTACAATAAACATACTGTGGATGCTAACATATGATCTGCCGAGTTCTTCATGACCATATATCGGTTAAAAGTTTGCACAAAACAAAGCTGGGATTGCTAAAGAGATCCTTGAAGCATTTACAGCTCAAACTGGATTGGTATCAATAACAAATTCATCTTAGTGCCCATATGACAAATGAAGAGAGCGTTTCTGTCTCCCGAATGACCCATGACCTCCTTTCCTCAAACTTATCTAAGATGACCCATACCAGGCAAAACACTTCCCCAAGAATGCATATCTCCCTACCCTTGATGATTTTTCTTTTTCTTTTACGGAAGTACCCTTGATGCTATTGACTAGGGGTGCAGAGCGGTGCCCGATCCGTCCTGCTTCGTAGTATACACAGATCAACTTAACTATAATTTCCTCACCCAGATTTAACTTAGTTTACACTATTTTCCTACTTATGCGGGATAAGCGGGACGCCCACTTGCATCCCTACTATTGACCGAAGACTTCTAGTGTCCTCCGTGAATCATATCATTATTATGGGAGGTAGGTTAACCTAAAGTCTGTTATCTTTTCAAAAGATGTATTACAATGGTTTCCAGAGAAGATTGATAAAATATCATTCTACTGCAAGAACGGCAACAAGGGTGCAATAGCTGAATACATAAATAGCAACAAATAAATTTCATTTTCTTTTTCCTGTTTCAAATCCCAACAAGGGCTACCAAAAACAGGAACACAAATTAACTAGAATGCATGGTCGTTGATACCAAAGAGGATTTAAGACTGTAAAGCAGTTTCATGGATATTCTGTCAAATTTCTAGTGTACCAAAAAGGGCAACCTGGTGCATGTAGCTCCCGCTTGCGCAGGGTCCAGGGAAGGGTCTAATTCTGCCTGGTTTTTCATTAACACACTGTTGCTAACATTCACAAGATCACCTCAGAGTTTCATAATTTGAGCACCATATAGAATGAAAACAACAAATATTGGCTGTAAGTTAAGCCATGGATACATAATTGTGTCATGCACTTCATAAATTCGCACCTTTTCAAGAGCTCGGGCATGTTTCATGTCCAGCTGAAGCCCATCATTTATAACTGACTTGTATAGCACCACCAAGTTGCGGTTATTCCTCGCAATGGCCTCCGCGACCTCTATGGCCTTACTCAGCACCTGACTATCATCCACAATGTGGTTAGCAAGCCCCCACTTCTCAGCCATTTCAGCAGTGACAGGCATGCAAGCTAGTGACACTTCTCGTGCTCTGTTTGGCCCAATGAGACGAGAGAGCTTCTGTGAAAGACCCCAAGAAGGAAATATCCCAAACCTACATCAGATTGGACAAAGGCTGATTAGAAGACAACAAGCAAAGCACACAGATGAAACGGCAATGGCATGAGCAGGGTTTGTAAGTTGTAGGACAGTGCAGACACGCCCAAATTCAGGTAGTACAAACATAGGTGTTGAACACTAGCAACTCCAATGTATAAAATTTCCCCATACTGAATTGCAGGAGTACAAAAATATTTGCAGCAAATCTTGTGTTTCATTTGCTCTGCCCACAGAAGAATTTCACTGGCATGGGTATATTGAGTTCGAGTGAGATTTTCCAGCTCAACTAGTAGTAAGAAGTTTTAATTAGCGTCTACTGAGAAACTAAACAGATTGACCACCAGCCAAGTTGGATTTTACTTCCGTGCAGAAATGAGATGAAGAAGCGTGTCAGGAGAGCTAGCTCACTTGGCGTGGGTGTCGAGGAATTTGGCGGAGCGGCCAGCGACAAGGAGATCGCAGGCGAGGGCGATCTCGAAGCCCGCGGTGACGGCGAACCCGGCGACGGCGCCGACGATGGGCTTCCGGCAGAGCTCCATCTGGGCGACGGGGTTAGCGGCGGGGTCGTTGACGTCGCCCTTGAAGACCTCCTCCGCCGCCGTGAGGTCCACCCCTGCGCAGAAGGAGCGGCCGCGGCCCGCGAGCACCACCGCGGCCACGCCGTCGTCGGCGTCCAGCCGCCGGAACGCCGAGGCCAGGGAGATCATCATCGAGCGCGTCAGCGCGTTCAGCGCATCGGGGCGGTTGATGGTCACCACGGCGACCTTGGACCCCGGGCTCGCCGGCTCGACCAGGATGAGGTCGCCGGAGTCCGGCGAAGTGGCGCCCATCAAGCTGGGCGGATGAAATCGGGCTAGCGTCTGGAGTTGGTTGATCGATCGCAGCTTGGGACCATGTGCTTGTGCAAGCAACCTTTTGACTTTTGAGAACTATACTCTAAATTGCGAAGTGCTGCACCGAACTGAAGAGTCAGGGCGGTTCTGATAAATACTACTCCCTCCGTTTTTATTTAGTTCGCATATTAGGTTTGGTCAAAGTCAAGCTTTACAAACTTTGACTAAGTTTATATACAAAAATATTAAGATATACAAGAACAAATCAACAACACTAAATTCATTATTAAATGTACTTTCACATCGTATAGATTTATTATGATAAATGTCTATATTATTTTCTATAAACTTAATCAAACTTTATGAAGTTTGACTTCAGTCAACTTTAATATGCAGAGTAAATAAAAATAGAGGAAGTACTAGTCTACTATCACTATAAAAGAAAGAGAGGGTGGAGAACCAAATCATCCTATCCATCGAAACTTGCAATCTGATAGTCTACATCCCTCCAGCATACTAAACGCGTTTTACGCTTTAATTACCCACCATTGCCATTACTTAATTAATTACCAATCATTGCCATTGGGTTAACATCGTTCCCCGACCACGTCGCCCCCCTCTGCCCTCACGCAACCAGCAGTTTTGGCACCGCCCCACCCCTCGCCCGCCCTCTTGCTGCAGCCGCGCCAGCCACCGCCTCGACCGCCGCCGGAGAACCTCCGCCTGTGCCTCCCGCGCCACGCACCGCCGCGCCGTCCGCACCCGCGCCTCCGCTCCGGGCTTCCTGTTGATAAACTCGAAGGCCGCGGAAAACGAGAAGACCACCAACCCTCCTCTGACGCATCTGAGAGCAGGTCGTCGCCCCGGCCGATCCACTTCCGACGGACGCAAGAGTAGGCCGCCGTCCTCGCCGCTCCTCCCACGGAGACGAGAGCAGGACGGTGCCCCCGCCGCTCCTCCTCTGTTGTCGCATGTAGGCCGCCGGTCCTCTTCCGTTGGACGCGGGTGCAGGCCGCCGCCCCCGCCGCTCCTCCTCCAGTGGACGCGAGAGCAGACCGCCGCCCCACCACTCTTCCTCCAACGGATGCGAGAGCGGGCCGCCGCGCCGCCGCTCCTCTTCTGCTACCCCAGGTACCTGCCGCTGAACAGACATCACGGCCGTCGCCCGCGGCTCCTCATCGTCTGCACCCATGAAGATGCCACTACTTAAGGTGGCTTAGCGCTTTGCGGGTCGATTGATTTGTAGGATTTGAGTTCATAGGATTTTAATGGTTTCTTAGCGCTTTATTTGGAGGTAATTTCTGTCAATTTCTGATTCAAATTCTTGTGGTTCTCCAATCTTGGGCAGTGTCACCAGAATAGGAGGAGCGCAGCGGAAGGAGCATCAGGCACGTGCTTGCGGTGACCGTGAAGACCAGAAAAGAGATGGATGGGTTCTCACCAAGTTTCTGTGGCTCACGGTTTTCTTCCAGCTCTCTACAATAACTAGAAGATGAGTTACGACAACTTTTTACATAAAAGGTTGGATCTTTCAGCAGTTTGTTGTTGGCTGTGCTACTTACTAATTTGATTTGATAAGTCAACCTGGGGACAGCCGATTGGGTGTGAATGAAGTTGTTAATATGATTTTATTTGTGTGTGCTAATGATAGATCTTGCATTTCTCTACTATATTTGTTTGAATGAGCTACTGCAGCGGATAAGGCCGACGTGCACCATTGTAAACTTTAGATAAAGCTTACAACACGGCAAGGAATAACCTTGATTTATGCATGAGTATTGTACCTGTACTATTTCATGCCGTGTTTCTGGAGTACCAACATTTGAGAATGATAAGTATTATGCATCAGATTTTTCTCTACATGACAATTGGTATGGTAGTTGCTTGACTAAATGATTTAAAGGTGTAAATTGATTCGAGAACATGTCATGTGTTCTAATTTCTGAATCATATAGTTCAATATTTTGAAGTTGGACTAGATTGCTCTTTGAGTTTGCCACTTATTGCACCTGCACATGTACATGCTAAATTTGTAGCATGTTACCTTACAATAAAATGAATCAGATAAAAATAAGTGGATGTAACAAAATTAATTTAGGTAACATGTTACCTCTCTTTTGATGTTATTGGCGAGTCCAATTGGATTGAATGTTCAGAGTTTCTTTGCAGCCTGTGTGATGTACAACACTTACATTATTAGTAAAGAAGAATAAATTTAATCAGAGATGCTTCTATTTATTATCTAATGATGTAATCATGTAACTTGTATGCTTTCTCTTGTCAACAAGCAAGGTACTTCTTCCAGCAACTACTTTTGGAGGTCTGCTACTGCCATTTCATGGTACGCTTTGCTTTTGAAAATTATCAAAGGAAACTGATGCAGAAAATATTGCCCATGAACTGAAGCTAGAAATGTAGGAAATCTGTCACCGTCATCTTAACATGATGAGAGTCCAACATCCCAGTAAAAAAATTTATCTTTGGTTACTCAAAGGTGCTAAAACTTATGTCATGTATCATGGATTGCTTGAATTGATCTTTCCGTTTTATGCTCTTTAGTTCATATACCATATTCGGCTATGTATCTCTTGCTTTCCATACACTTCTTTAGCAGAACATCATCATATATTTTGCTCCTTAAAGAGACAACTTTGAATGGAAAATGAGTGAAGACATTGACTATTATCACAGCCAATAGCTTTATTTGTTGTGCCCTTCCGAACTGGAATACCCTTAATGCTAATAATTTATTAATTTTATTTAGATGACACCTCAATCCGTAAGTCATGTTTCCTGCAGTGTATTTTTTTACACTTCCTTAAAATTAATCATATAGGTCTAGAATAGTTGCTTCTTTAAATTAAAGTAGTCTGCTTATGAGCGATATAAAACTATCCAGTTCTCTGGCCATGAATAATGTGGGAAATTTCAAATTATTTGATGGAAAATTCTAAACACTTGAAAAGTAAAATAGGGTATTTTTGAAACGGAAGATTCTCTTGCATGCATTTTCTAAGTTGTCATACTCTGCCTTCACTTCCACAATAACACTGCTCATAGATGTACTATGCCTTGACATGCACAATAGCATTGCCTTGATGTACTATTTGGAAGGAATATATAAAATTATATTTGCTCAGAGAATCATTTTAATTGTCTTCCTAACATAAATATATTAGTGGCACGGTATGCCTCACTCCAGGAACAATGTACCATTGCGGCCGCTTCTAATTGAATTTTATGTTTAATCATTTTTCCTCAAAGCGCATTGAACACCCATGTATCTTTCTTGAACTGATCGGTTCTTGGACTTCGGCAAATACATTTCTGATCTGGTAGTTTGGCTGTTGTTCTTTGGTTATTTACATATTGTTACATGTATATATACGAGTTGTAAAGTGCTCGCCTGTGTGGTCACGCCTGGATCAATATTGTTAGCATCCAACTATGGTGTGGCTCTGCATGCCAAGGGTGGTGTGCGGTTGGATAGAGTACAGGTTGTCGCCAGTGACGAAAGGATGAAGGAGAGCGTAAAGAAATTGGTGCTGGTTGTCGTGGTGATGGCGCACCACTGATGTGGTTGAGTACAGTTTATAGGCAGTTAAGAGGAGAAAATAGAAGAGTTGGGTGCAGCTGAATCCGAACATGTATTACTAGAGTTACCTCCACATTGACTGGAGCCTAAACTAGAGGACATATTCATTTGTTATTTTCTTGATTTTGTGACTCTTCCACAAGTTTTATAGATTATCTTTTTATGGTATATGTTTTCCCTTTTTTGTCCTTTAACACAAGTTGAATTGCATTGTGAAATGGGTGTACCTATTATTATTATTTATGTGATCAGTGGAATTTTCAAAATACTATGTATATGATCTAAACAATGGATGAAAATCAATTTTAGTTGACACGATATTCGAAGTTATGGCTAAATTGTACAACATCCAATATAGTTTATAAATTTATGTGACCGTTATCATTTATATTAATCAAGACGTGCGTTGCACGTGCACGCTTACTGATACTACTAGTATTACTTGGATGTTTTTGTTTTCTCCGGAAAAAGGAACTGATAAGGTTGGTGACGTGTCATGCGTCAGTTACGTGCCGTGCGCATGGTTTCGCTTCTACTCCTACAAACAAAAACATCAACGGCTACTCTGATTCCTGTGAACTGCAATTTTTCTTCTCCTCAAAACAAAACAAAACAAAAAGAACTGCAAAAAAATTTTTTGGGGGAAAAAGAACTGCAATATCTGTTTGGTTGGAAACACCGGCGTCACAGCCGAAACAGCACGTCTTCGTCGGATCACAATATGTCAGCACGCGATCGATTCGTTTCGTTCGACAATACTTTTTTAGAATACACACAAGCATATGTATGATATATTCATAGAAAAAATAATCAAGATGACCAATACAACGCCTTTCGGCAAAGTGCTACATCAAATGGTTAACACCAACATCCACTAAGATAACACCGACACACAACTCGCCTTGCTCAAACTCAAACCAAATAATGACGGAGAGGGTGGACACAGAGCACACAGGCCGCATCCCAACCGAACCGAACACCTCAGAGCTCGATAAAAACGCCAAAGTAAACTAGATCAACACAGTCTCCATCATGGCGCCTAAGAGATCGGCAAGTGGACAACAGGAGCTAGCCCAATTCAATGAAGATGTCGCAGATGAGGCGTCGATGATGGAGTACATAGTGCCCAGGATGCTCATGCCCATAGCAAGAACCGGTACATGACAACCCTGCACCCCAAGCCCCGCCGCCGAGGCGAACGAGACACCAACACCAGTTACTCCTTCGAAAGACACATCGATCACATAGGCAACGCCTTCAAGAAGGGAACGACGTTGTAACG